AGAGAGATTTTTTGCTGCCAGACTCAGAACTTGTTCTTTTCCCAGCAGAGCCACTAATAGTCTGTGAACCAGTTTTCAGGAAGTTTAAGTTGAGCTAAGTAGGCAAGATGTATGCACACTTGTCATGGCTGCACATGCAATGAACGTAGGTAGCCAATGAATCTGTGTTTCCCTGCTCACCATGCAACATTGCAGTAACTTTTATGGAAACCTGAAGCACAGCTTCATTTAAGCCATTTGAAAATCTGCCCCTTTACCTCTCTATACTCTCCCTTCACATCTTGCAGAGATATCAAAACCTTGCAGGCATGTTCTGAAACTTAGTGATCACGAAGTACTTTGGGATTCACAAATGAAGGTGCTCCATGCCGGCTACAGAACCCATATAGTGGTATCTTCTAGTATCTATACAAGCAAATAAGGAAAAGGGCAGATTTCAGGGAGAGGAAGGAAGCCAGTTATTCTTCTCACTGCCCACCCCTCTTCCCTTTCCCTCATGATTGTGAATATCCTTTCTTCTTAAATCAAGTCCCAGCTCCTCAAAATTAATCTCTTTCAATGGCCTCAGAGACCCATGAGGAGGAGGGGGGTTGGCAGATTTATCACAAATAGGTCTGACATGAGAAGAGTGCTGTGGTTGAGAGGTTATGTTAGGGGTTACAACTGAAGCAATTTCCACCAGTAATGCAAGGATTTAAGTTCTGCAGCCAATGCATATACATCCACATACACCAAGGATGATTTTGACCTTGATCTCCAGTCTGCCCAGTTAAGGGCCTGGGATCAAATGTTTTCCAATTAATGTCAAAATGCTGACTGAATTAATTTCCCTGTTAGGCTTTCTAGACCACAAATTATGTAACTGCACTTGTTAGAGCCTCTAGGCTCTGCCTGAGTTGCTGTAAATTATAAAAAGAGAAACATGAGTAAAAGGAGATGAGGCAGCTAGTACTTGAGCTAAGAAGACAGTGGGTGTCCAAGATGCCTATTCATGAGTCCTTGGAGGTTCCCATTAAAACCTCTATATTTAAATATGGTGCTTTTAATTGGTCAACCTTCAAACAGGGTCCCTGGCTTGATTAAATCAGATAGAGATCTTTCTTTAACAGGGTCTTCAAAAACTCCTTGAGGCCTTGAGTCACTGCGTGCTTCAAATCCATATTGAAGAATAAACAATTATTTTATAAGTTATAACCACCTAATTTTTATGACTTTACAGCCTGCGGAGAGAGAGCGCCAAATTGTTTCCATCTAATACAAGTTTAGCAAAGTAATCATTCACTCGAAACTTTATGATTGTTAGAACACATGCACAAATCATAAACACTGCTCTCATTTTAACTGGAAACTTAACTGCATATTTCAACAGTTTGCTTCTGATATCATGGAAGTGAAATAAGTAAATATACAAGAACAGCCCAACTCTTATTTGCCTGTGTTTCATACAAACTGGTGGCTTAGGGTCAAAAGCAAATTGTAGCTTGGGCAAGATGGAGTCTAGCATCCAAGCAGACAAAAGCACAGTGCCTTTAAGGAGATTAAGCAGCAGCTAATACCGACTAGCAATATATTAAATTCCTTAGCTATTGTTCTGATAGGAACTTTGTTTCATTGTATTGTACTTGATACTCTGGCATTCAGTGAAATCTGCCATATTTAAACCCTTCACCAGCTTCCTTTTTCTTTCCATTATTCTGCCAAGCAATTTAGTTCTTAGTCACCAAACTGCTGCAGAATTTAATTAACATAGCTATGGAAATTAGTCACACAATGAAAGCAGAATTATATGGGGTCGTTTTAAATATTCTTCCAATCATGCAGGACAGAAACATGTAGCTAAATATAAATGCTGCCTCGCTACCTTTCAACACCTTTGGGCCAGATCCATTATACTGGTGTAAATTAAAATGCAATCCACTGATTAGAGATACTGCAGATTTTCTTTAATAAAGCCCAGAGGAGGATATGGCCTTTAGTTGTTTCTTTTAGGAGAAATACCATTCCTAGTGTGCTTGGTTAAATGCGTATTAAGCCATAACAGAACAGATGTTCTCAGCACCTAAAGTTCTTCAAAAATGGCAGAACCTGCTCTAAGTTAACTCTCAATGGATGTGATATTAGACTAAAGCGCTTTAACTTAAAGCACTGTTTTGAATGTTTGTAGCACATCCATTGCATTTCAGTGTAGGACGCTGCACCCATCTGGTCTCATATAGGCGCTCCCTAGTGGCCTTAGAGTGCATGCCCACTCTTGGGTGCTGGGCTGCATTCATCCCTGAGGGAGGCCCTGATACTCACCTGCCACGACTTGATCTTCCCTTCAGTAGTGGGACTCTCCCTCGCGGAATCTTGTGGATCGGATGCTGCCCTTTGCAGGTGTTCTTGGGGCTCCACCTTCCCCACCCCCCAGCTCACCCCAGCCTCTGGTCCCACCATGGGAGGGTGTTCCGGGACCTCCGTTTGTGTCCCTCTGGGACAGACGCATTCTGCTGCCATCCCAGGAGCCCCTCGCTGGGTGGCTTTCTAACCTTTGCTGGTGCTCATCTGCTCCAGGAGAGCACTAGCCTAGCCCTGCCTCCAGGCTGTCACAGAGAGGACAAAAAAGGCTCCATCTCCTCCCTGTGCAGCCAGGTGGGGTGTAGGGGAACGAAGCCTCTCTTCCACATAGACCCAGCCAGGCCATCACCAAATCTTATGACCACAAGCTTCGGTGGGATCCACATGGCAGAGAAGCTCCATTGCACCAGCTGCAGCTCCTAGCTTTGGTACTTTCCACTGTACCAGGAACTATGGCACAGGTATGGGGGGCAGGAAATGGAGTCTCACTGCTGCGCAGATCCCCCTGACCCCCAAGCTTGTAGGCTCAGGTCTTGGTGGGGGCTGGGACTGGTCCATGTGACAGATAGGCTCTGTTTCCCACTCCCTTCCTCAGCCCCAGTTCCCAGCCCAGTGAAAAGCCAGCCAGGCAGCCCTGTACTGCAGCTTCTTGTTGCCTTGTTAGGAGACATGAGTTGCAGGAGTGGGAAAATGAAGTCCCGCCACACTGCAAGGGTCCCCCCCTGCCGCTGCTTGTTGGCTGGGGTCTTGGGGAAACTGGGCTGGGTCCACACAGCTGAGGGGCTTCCCCCCACACCCAGGTCTCCTGACAAAGGCAGCCAGAAGCTGCAGCACAGGCAGCGTGACCAGCTCCTTGCTGCACCAGGAACTGGGGATGGGGGGGGAAGGGAGCCCCCATGCCTTGTGGACCCATCTTGGCCCCCCTCCTGAGACCCCAGCCAGCAAACTGTGATGAGGGTCTTGTGCAGCAAGGGGGGCTCTCTTCCCCCTCACCCCAGGTCCTGGCATGGTGAAAAGCCAGCTGGGCAACACCACACTGCAGCTCTAGGCTGCAGCTGTCAAGAGGCTGATGCAGTGGGGAGGGAGCCCCCTGTCGCGTGGACCTGCTCCCCCCCCCCACAAGACCCCAGCGAGCAAGCTGTGAGGGGGCTTTCACAGCAGGGGGTCTTAATTTCCTTTCTTTCCTCCCCAGCCACTGCTGACAGTCGCCTTGACCAGGGCAGGCAGGCACTGAGTCCCCTCTACCTAACAGCGAATGTCTGTTCAGTTCATTTCCACTCTAACTTATAATACTAAATGAAATGCAATAGTTAGAGCGCTTCCACCAGGGGCTTTTTGAATGTCTGTACTTAGCCCTTGTGTGCACTGTAATGTGGTGCAAGAGACTATAGTAGCAACACCACTTTTTACCTGGCTACCAAAAAACTTGCCTCTCTTCAAGACAGTTAACAAGGCTGATCAGTTTGGTTCTCTGTAGAAGCTGGACACCTTCATTACCACCACTATCAGCTGGACACCACTGACCTGAGAGCCAACCCAGAAGCACTGTATTTTCCCTGGATATAACATTATAAAAGTCAAATCACCCTGAAGAATGAGGAAGAATGAGGAAAACATGACATCATGTTACTGAATGACTACCAACAGCAAAATAATAATTTTTTTTCTTGCATGCTCCCTTAAAGCTAGGATCCCCAACCTTGATAGCCCAAGACATAATCATACTTTGCTCTCCCTGGCAATCTCAGTGTTATTTTTTTAATTTATTGTGGCCACAAGCAATATTGAAGGGGTTCCCAGACAACATGTGATCTGCAAGCCATGGGTTGAGGACCACTGTATTAGAGGATCTTAGAGTATGCAAATTTTGGGCATCGCATACCCCAGAATTAACCCCTACAATCCCATTTTACAGATGGAATAAATCAGAGGTCCCACAATGAAAACGTAACAGAATGAAAGAGTACTTGGACCTTGATTCTAACATCTATGATGCACTGTTTTCTGCCAAGCAGTGAATCTAAATAAAAATCCTAAACAGATTCAATAGTTTCTCATAATCATGTTCTTCACAATGTGCCAAACCACTGTGTGCAGACACAGCCTTCGTACAGGGCTTGTGAGGAAGGAATCCTCCCATATGAATCATGGACACTGAAAACCAAATAGAATAAAAGAGATGGGGCCTCTCCCCCAGCCTATTTACAGTCCTATTTGTATCAATATATTCTAAGACCTTGTGCTCCTTTCCCTAGTACTTTATATCTGATACCACTGCCCTTCTTAAAGGAACACCACGTGACAGCAGTGCCACTGCCTGTGTAGTAACCCCTGAAACTGCACAGGCATGGATCTTCCAGTCTTCCTAACACCCAACCTCCCTCTATTAGCTGTGGTGGCAGGATCTCATCTGGAGAGGTTTGGGGGGAGTGGGGGTGTTCCCATTTGCTGCATAGACTCTTTACATTCTGACTGACTTCTGGAGCAAAGGAACTGCTTTGGTTCTGCTATCTTTAGAGAACTCTATAGCTACAAGGGGAGCCAGGGGGTAAGACTATCCCCAGTGAAACCTGAATTCTCAGATCTATTGGATTTATCAGGGCTTTTATTCACATATCAGTGAAGGTGCAATAACTCACTCCCACCACTGCCTAATGGTTGGCTTTTAATACAGCAGTTTTCATACATACTTAAGATGGAAATTCACCTGTTTAACATGTGCAAACTGTAATAAATTGATATAATCTGTCAACTTTGTTTTCCAGGAAAGCAAAACCTCAAATTGGTTCATGGGGGGAAAGAAAATCATTTCTGAATGAGACACAAATGAGTATTTTGAGAGTGTAATGGAGCTTTAAATTAAATTGTCCAGAGAACTGTTTGAAATGTAAAGGGATGCACATACCCAGGTAAGCCTGCTGTGTACGATGCTCTACAGGCAAACACACTTGTCTTCTCATTTTTCTTGTTCTCTGGTGTCCTAGGTATCACATGGCTGTGGTTCAGGTGGAGAAACCAAAGCTTCCAAGAAGGCTGTATAAGGCAACCCTGTTAAAAGAGAGCCTGGTTTTAGAGCACATTACTTTTATTTCCTTTCTTTCTTATTTGTATGAAAACACAAACTTTGTTCATTATGAACACATATTTGTACAGTGTGTCTGCATGCGCATGTGTGTCTGTGTGTGTGTGTGTGTGTGTGTGTGTGCACGCGAACATGTGTGCACAGGAGAGAGAGACTGAGAAAAAAGTTTTCTTCTCTAACAATTAAAGTTTATTGCCTTTAACCCTTGCAACCAAGCCTAAAATCCTAAATCATATCGGCATACGAGCAACTAAAAGGGAAAATTGTAAACATTTTCAAACATATGACATTAGAAAAAAACAAAACAAGTTACCCTTTGGCAAATCTTCAAAATTTAGAGTTCTTCGAAAGAGCAGAACAGTAAGATGTTGTAAAAATATTGCAGGATGCCTACGGTATAGCATTCTTTC